TCAACGTATTCTGTATATTTCATCATTTCTTTATTATGTTATCTATAGGTTTGGTCCCGCCCCTTATCTATTTTTTGCACATTAGGGACGACATCAAAAGTTCAATGTAGGATAAAAAATCTTAATTCATATAGTTTTTTTTCACTGACCCCCTCCCCTAGGACTTATAGATAGATGTCATTAGTCCCAGGTCATGTAATAAAGTAGGTCTTATGAAAAACCAATAGCATTTTAATTTTGATGATTATATATATGTTTATATATCTAATAATGCCATTTTTTTGGAAAAAAGGGTAGGGGCAAGGCGTTTTTAAAACATCAATGGGACGCGTTTTTTTTTGTTCTTCGGAAGTGAGCCAGAAGAAGTCCATTTCTGGTTTTTTTTGCATTGGGAAGATCTTCTGGCTCTCTGCCACCTCTTCTTTGATAGGTTGACGACAGAGGCACATAACAAACATGGCGTCGTTTAGTCTAAATGAAATTAATAAATTTATGAATGCAGATATATTAGAATGTGAGCTGTTTTATAAACGTTTTTATGGTATGACAGCCTTAGTAGGACATCCCTGTAGGACGATAAGCTGGATAAATATAAGAACTACACGGACAATAACAGTTAAGGGACGATTATTTGATATTCTAGGGAAGGGATTTTGATTGATTGATGTTTAACGCTACTTTCTACACTATTGGGCTATTCCGTGGTAGTCAGTTTAAATTTATAGATGAATGATGGGGAAGGGAAGAGAGGGCATTATTATTTATTTCAATCTGTCGCTAATCATGCCTATTTTTCAGCTCTTACCAGGCAACCATATTCATATATGAAATCCTTCTGTCCCACACCCCAACAAATAAATAAATATCAAATGGTTTTCCTCTTATTTAACACAAGTTTAAATTGATTGATTGTTTGTTGCTAATTTTAACACCCAGTGACAATTATTTCATGCTTGTTCAGGAAAACACGAGTTTAGAAGTCACGTATATAATATAAAAATGAAGAGATGGAATATGATTGCTAATAAGGCAACTATCCACCGGAGTTCAAATATGAAGTGGATGTAAGCAATTATAGATAAGATAAGATAAGATAAGATAAGATAAGAAAAATTTATTTTAAGTCGGGTTACATGAAATACTACAAACATAAGCTCTGTAGAGCTTTTTGCCGTCATGTAGACAAATGCTTTTTTGTAGACAATCGTAAGACCTTCAACAATGACAAAAACCTGATACTGTAAAGTCGTCTATAAAAGGCCCGACACGAAAAGTGTGGACAATTCAAAAGAAAAAAACTAACAGCCTAATTATACATAACAAAACAATTTACAAAATATCAAATATGAGTCGAGACAGGAACCAACGACAACCACTAAACTACAGGCTCCATCCCTGGGACAGGCAAATAAAGAATATGGCAGGGTGGATATAAAAACGAAGATATGATATGATTGCAAATGAGACAACTCTCCACAAGAGATCAAATGACACAGAAATCAACTGCTATAAGTCACCGTACGGCCTTCGACAACAAGCAAAGCCTACACCGCATAGTCGTCTATAAAAGGCCCCGAAATCAAAAATGTAAAACAATTCAATCGAGAAAATTAACGGCCGAATTAATGTACAAAAAAATGAACGAAAAACAAATATGTATAACAAAGCAACAAACGACACCCACTGAACTACAGGCTCCTGACTTGGGACAAGCACATACATACATAATGTGGCGGGGTTAAACATGTTAGCGGGATCCCAATCCTCCTCCAGCGGTGTAACAGTACAACAACATGTAATTGAGCAACCCATCCCGAAGCTGGGACAGTGGTGTAACAGTACAATAAAATAACAACCTGCACAAATCAGCAAATTTACTCAAAAGATCGGTACGAGACACACAAAAAAAAACTAACATTAAGACAATAGACACAAAGCACCGACATAAGAGTATTTGCAATTACTGGAAGTTTGCTCAAACCTAATTACAACTGGTACTGAAATAAATCTTGTTCTCCCAGACTGAGTTATCAATCAGTACACAACGCGCGGCAAAGGATTTATTAAAAAAAGAAAACAGTCTGAGAAACGTCTGGTTTACGTTGTATATAGATATAAGAAGATTAGGTATGAGTGCCGATGAGACAACTCTCCATCCAAGTCTTAATTTGTAAATGTAAACCATTAAAGGTCAACGTACGGTCTTCAACACGGAGCCTTGGCTCAAACCAAACAGCAAGCTATAAAGGGCCCCTAAACAATTAGAAGTGTAAAACCATTCAAACGGGAAAACCAACGGTGTCTAATCTATTTAAAAAAACCGATATACTTGCATATAAATCCATATACAATGAAACGGTTTTTGAAAAGTGGACCGAACGTTTTGACCATCGAAATTTTGCAATAGAAATACTAGTTATGACCACAAGATTTTAACAGCCAGTGCAGGACTCGCACGAACGTTAGATTTAGTTAGAGGGGCGATATTCTGACGCGTTTTTTAATTCTTGGTCACCCATGTTTAGAAAGAAAGGGGAGAAATCCAAACAATTTCCGACCAATCACAAACGTTGTTGCAAATTTGACCTTCTGACGTCAAAGGATTTCCCATAATGCAATTATTGCTTATAAATAAAAAACTACTATACCAATTGAATAAAAAATATTGCATTCAAATGACATTTTATACCAATTGAATAAAACCTATTGCATTTGAATGAAAATTATACCATTTGAATGAAAAATTATACCATTTGAATAAAAAAATATTGCATTTAAATGAAAAAATATACAATTCAAATAAAAAAATATTGCATTTAAATGAAGAAATATACCAATTAAATAAGAAATATTGCATTTAAATGAAAAATATCAAATTTTTGCAACCAATACCATGCCATATGTATTAGGGAAAACACTGATAATGATTAAGAAAATTTTACTTCACATGATAATTTTTTGGAGCAAATCATCGTCAGCAAAAATATAAAATTCATATATAATAATCTTATTGTAAAACATGCACATCATCAAGTTGTAAAATTTTCAAAATGGGAAGATTGGCTGCATACTAACATTGAAGACTGGCAAAAATATTGTTGTGTACTTCAGAAAGTTGTAGAGATATGTATTTGCATAATTTCCAATATAAATTATTACATAGAATTCTTCCTACAAATATATTTTTATTCAAAATTAAAATCAAAGACTCAAAATTATGTTCTTTTTGTAGATGTGAAGATGAAACTATTGGTAGTTTATTTTATGATTATCAAGATTTTTATATTTGTTCTGTGCTTGTCTGAAAAAGACTGAGAGAGAAGATTAAGGGGAGTGGTTTTCGTTTGTTGCTGTGCATCATATTTGTATTCGTTCATTATTTTGTACATAAATTAGGCCGTTGGTTTTCTCGTTTGAATTGTTTTGACATTTGTCGTTTCAGAGCCTTTTATGGCTGACTATGCGGTATGGGTTTTTCTCATTAGTTGATAGTTTTTGTGTCATTTTGTCTCTTTTGAAGAGTTGTCTCATTGGCAATTATACCACATCTTCCTATTTTTGTATATATAGATAGAGCTGCCCAATCCATAACTGTACTAGATATAGAACTGCCGGAATCTGTTCTAGGGTAGAACCGTCAGAATATTTTTTATAGCGTAGAACTGTCAAATATATTCTAGGATTAAACTGCCTAAAACTGGTCAACGCCAGAATTGTCTACGACTCTTCTAGAATAGAACTGCTTCTTTCAGGAAAGTTATTCCTCAAGATGTTAAAATAGGTTGGAACTTATCTCAACTGTAGCTTATAGGTTAATACGCGCCCTTCAACATTAGACATCTGATGCCTATACAGGATATCAAGGTCGTTAGCTTTCTCTTCGTTATTAATCATGGTATACGTATGTTATGAATGTCGTACCTGGTAGGAATATATGAGTTCATATAGAAAATTGTAAACACTTAAAAAGAAGTTGTTATTTTTTTGGCGATCAAAAAGTGGAATAGGGTGGGGGGGGGGGGGGGGTAACGCCCTCTACGCCACCTGGCACCACCACTGGTTAACTGCTTAATATGCTGAATTAACTAACAAATTCTGCTGCAAGTAGTAAATTACTTGTTTTCAAAATTAGTATAGCTAAATAAAAATTAAATATTAAATTGCGTCAATCAATAATAATAATAATAATCTCGTTCGTCAGTGAAAGTTTAATTTATCTCAACAATACACAATACTGATGGATTGTAAACAATGCTGATCTAAATAATTTCTGCAAGACGATAACAACGTTAGCAAAAATATAGCATATAAGACGACACGAGTTGTCCTTCTTGTATATAATTCTGTGAAAAAAGTTATATCGCTAAGACGTAAGCATTTATAGGAAAGACGTGGATAAAGCGACGGTTGTCGGATGACTATTATCATTAGATGATAATAAACATAGCATTTTATAATTGATAAATTTCGAAACTGCTTATCAGTGCCCAGAAGATCCTTTTCCGGATGTCTCAAATTTAGTTTTTTTTTCTGGCATTATTATGGAATTCAATATTCTTTAAAATTATGGGCTACATAATATTACTAGAAATATTATTCAATCTCATAATATTATGGATTTTTATAATACAGATTAAATTAAGGAATTCCATAAGTGCCTCGACTGATTAAAGATGTTTTAAAAATGATGCAATATCTAGGGCTCAGAACTCTGGGAAAGTATGTACTTCTGAACTAGTATATGTCATATAAAAATTGAGTTAATTACAGTTAAAGAATGTTGATGCATCATTCAACAGGATTATTTTATCCTGTAAACAATACCCAAGAGTTTACATTTTCTACCAATACTATATGTGCATACGCCAAAAACGAACAATCGGAAAGTTTGGAATTACATCATTCAGGTAAAAGATATGTAATACTCTCTTATGGCACATTGGATGCAACAGGTTAAAAAAAGGCATTACAAATTTAAGATAACCACTATTTCTTTTTACCTTTGAAGTTTGTTTACGTCATTCTCTTCGCCAGCAATTAATAAGGAAAATGTGCTCTTTTCATCATTAGTAGTGTTTACTAAATTCTGCAAATGAATATATTTAAAATTTAGTCTTTTTTCAAGAAAATGATTATACTACAAAAAGGAACATTAATATCAAAAATTACAAAAGCAATTTGAAAGATAATAAATGAGTGGAAACTAAAAGCTCTATATAAAAAAGAAAAACAAACTAAACCAATAATCAAAATAACTAGAGATAAAATAAAACTTTAATGATTTGTACTATCTACCTGAATACTATGATATATTTATGTTTAATCTTAAATGAGCACTTTACATTTAACCAATAGTTCCAAGTGGTGAAGTTGAAATCATTCTTTCGTAAATTTTACGGACGCCACCACCAGTTGGTTGATTGTAATGGAATACCCGTTTCTCAGATGATAGCGGATATCTTCATAATGTCGTCACAACGATCCGGCCCCCTTTTCCAGAATGTGACTACCGAATTCAACTTTTACCGGGTTTGTACTACCATGAGCAACACGATGGTGTCGAATTTGTGGAGCAGAATCTGCTTCATCTTTGGGAACACCTGAGATAACCCCCAGTTTTTGGTGGGGTTTGTGTTGCTCAGTCTTTAATTTCTTTGTTGTGTGTTCTGTACTATTGTTTGTCTGTTTGTCCTTTTCTATTTCAGCCATGGCGCTGTCAGTTTTTTTCGACTTATTAGTTGCATGTCCCTTTGGTATCTTTCGCCTCTCTTTTACACTCAACTGATATAATTTGAAACAACTTAAGAATGTATTGTTATAGCATGTCTATGTTGAAATGTACTATTATATTATTTTATTTATTTATGTATCTCTCTGTCCTGAGTGTTCTTGCATTTATTTGTACTGTATTCCTGTCACGAAATGTTGTCATTTTAGCGGAGATTTGACATTGACATATAAGCGGGAGATTTGGCTAGCCATAAAACCAGGATCAACCCACCATTTTCTCTTAAAATGTCCTGTACTAAGTCAGGAATATGGCAGTTGTTATTACATAGTCCGTTTCTATGTATATTGGCGTTTGTTTTTTTAGCAGTTCAGTGTTTCTGTTGTTTTCGGGTTTTTTTCGTCTTATAGTTGATGTGGTTACCTCAGTTTTGGTTTGTGACCCGGATTTGTTTCAGTAAAATCGATTTATGACTATTGAACAGCGGTATACTACTATTGCCTTTATTTAATGTTGCTTCAAAATTGCAGAGATTGTGATCTAAGATTTAGCAGTAGATCGTTAGAATTTTTAAGAATCTCCATCTGATTGACATCACTGGTGGAACATATTTCATCACACTTTTTTTGAAGGCCATTTTGTGCTATAGAAAGAATAGTAGTCAGCACTTGAGAAAGGCGTTAAGTTGAACATCTTGATGATCCGGCTATGTATTGTTCTTTATAAGGAGTTTTGGTTTCCAGTATAATGACGGTAGATTGTCTTCGTTTTCTATGATGTTAATATCAAAAGAAAGAAGGACAGATTTTTGATTTTGTAAAATTTCATTATTTGTAAATACCAGGATTATAATCATCGTAAATGATGTTAAAGAATATGTAGAATTACCAGTTATGCTGTTTATTCCAAGTTTTTTTGTGAGACATTCCAAGTAATGGTTTTTACATATGAAGACATCATTATTGGAGGCTTTATCTGCCGGAACAACGACATATTTGTCATGCAAAGAGGATAAAGCATCCACAACCGCCGGGTTCTTGAATGGATTAGAAACCCTTGTGCTCATAGTACATCGTAGTTTCTGAATTCGTTTCTGAATGCATGATCGAATAGCTTTGATCCATTCAGACAAAGTGTCCAGTTCTGGTTCATCTGGTTCGCACTTTACCCATTTTCTGGCATAGTTCTCAACTGCACCCATCAGTAACATGAAGTTCTTTTTCCAGTTGATGGGCCGGAAAATTCTGTATTTTGGTCCATTTGCTAACAACTCTCTTACTTGTTCATTGGTTACGATGCCAAGGTCGCCAGTAATAACATGACCACCTAGACTATAATTGTATTTTGACGATGCACATGAGCAATCCGGAGGTTTGGATTTCATATCTTGGAAGTTAAAGGCCTCTAAAACCCTCTTGTTGTTGAAAATCGCGGATGCAATATGCTCGGTGTAAGTATATGACATTTCAGGTGATGCTTTATTTTTGAAGTATTCAGGTATAGTTTTTTGTACAGATTTCTGGTGGAAAATATTGTAAATATTGAGAGCAAATTGTTAAAGTTGGCGCCTGTTAAAACGTTTAAACCCGCTGCATTTGAATGCAACTGTCCTAAGTCATGATCCTGTTGTTCAGTGGTTGTCGTTGTTTTGTGTGGTTTATAAATGTTTCTCATTTCTCGTTTTGTATATAGATAAGGCCGTTGGTTTTCCAGTTTGAATTGTTTAACACTAGCCATTTGTGGGCCTTTTATAAATTGCTGTTTTGTGTGAGCCACGGCTCCGTGTTGAAGGCCGCACTTTGATCTAAAATTGTTTACTCTGTATACATTATGACTTGGATGGAGAGTTGTCTCATTGGCAGTCATACACCATCTTCTTATTTATATTGATACAAGTGATGTTAATGACTAACCCCTTTTTTGGTTTTATTTTCAAACTGAAAATTAAAACAATAATCGGGTTGTTTTCTTGGTCATTTTTGAATAGAAAAAGTAAAATAATAAAATTAACGAACTCCAATGAAAATTCAAAACGGAAAGTTCCTTATCAAATGGAAACACTAAAAGCTTAAACACATCAAACGAATGGAAAATAACTGTGATATTCCTGACTTGGTACAGGTATTTCCTTATGTAAAAAATGGTACAGTCTATGGTGAAATAATCGAGAGAACAGTATATGGTGACAAAAAAGCTGTAATAATACGTTTATACTCATATTGTGGTCTAAAAAAAGACATTCTATCACACATGTTATGAATATTACGAACTTAACTAATTGGCCATTGACCTAGTTTGCATAATAATTGATGTCTATTAATGTTTTTAGATATAGATAAATGACCATCAAGTGTATCATTTTCCTGACTTGGTACAGGCATTTTCTTGTGTCAAAAATGGTGGATTGAACCTGGTTTTATAGCTAACTAAACCTCTCACTTGTAAGACAGTCGCATAAAATTCCATTTTATTGACAACGATGTGTGAACAAACAGATATAATAGGTAAAAATGTCAAAAATGGGATACAGTTGTCAACATTGTATTATAATCTTAATCACTTTAAAAAAAACAATAAAATGTTTCAACAAAGAAACACAAAATCGCATATAGACAAATCACATGAGTAAAATCGAAAGATAAGAATACAAAACTTTACCATTGCACAATATAACAATGACGGGATGTATAAGTACCGAGCTTCGTCAAATGGATATTACCAAATAAAGGCAACAGTAGTTTACCGCTTTATCCGGGTTACAAACTAATACCGAGGGAAACATATCAACTATGAGAGGAAAATAATGGAACAACAGAAACACTGAGGTGCAACAAAAACAAACGCAAACATACATAGAAACGAACTATTTAATAACAACTTCCATATTCCTGACTTGGTACAGGACATTGTAAGAAAAAATGGTGGATTGAACCTAGTTTAATGGCTAGCCAAACCTCCCGCTTATATGGCAATGTTAAAAAAATATCAAAATATCACTAAAATGACAACACTAGCTGCGTGACAGAAATACAGCACAAACAAACGCAAGAACACTCAGCACAGAGAAACGCACAAATAAATGATATAATAGTTGATACAACATGTAAACCGCAGAATAACAACAAACATCTTCCCTTAACGATAGCACAGGACATCACAAACAGTGACGTATTTTTGTTACGAATATATAATCTTGAAATTCTTACAATTATATTCACAATACTAGTCCAAACAATTATCATGATTATGACGGTATTGAAAGTCCATTTGAAATAAATGCTTGGATGACGTCATAATTATTTGAACTAACACAATACTTTATCCATGGACAATGGAAATTAACTCGACTTTACTGACAAATGAGACATATGTGAAATGTACCGAAATACAGAATTCAAACCACAAACGATAGGACATAACACAATATCCAACCGAAACCAAAAATAGACTAAACAGTAACTGTAATAATTTACAAAGACACATACAAGAATACTACAACACGTTATTAAGACGATAAACAACGTCAGTACCTAGAACCTGTACTTTAAGACTTTTAAAAGAAAACTGGTCATACTATCTGCCCAGAGTCACTTTCAGCGTAACTTCTGGTTGAAGTTGCAATGAGACTGCCGATTAGTTTAAACCATTACTGTTCCAGTTGCAACTGTAGATCTATATTTTTAAACTCTGATCACATAGCGTATTTGCTATTGTTAGTTATTGCACTCGGGTAAAATTCAATCAGTTTTAGACAAGATGTCAATTTGATGTAATAAAAAAAGACTAGTGTGGGTATAGATGATCAAAAACATTTCTTACCGGACAGTTGTTCGTAAAAATATTGAGTATGTTTTCTCTTCCTTCCTTTTTGGCTGCTTCAAATGGTGTTTCCCCCCACCTAAAAGAAAGATAAGATAAAGTCAGAACTCTAATACATTCAATCGTATGTATGATTACTCGCCTTCAACTAATAGCTACCGTACACAACGGCTGTATACAAGCTATGTGGATCTAGAGACTGTCGAAATGACGAATGATTTGTATCCACAAACTATATTTGATATATCATAATCTAGTCGCACAAGAATAAATTTAGGTAGTAAAGACGTAAGACTCCCAAGTTACAATCAAAATACTTAAGTCGAAGAGAAACAGATAAATTCATGACTACCACTAAACAACAGACTCCTACTTTGGGACAGTCGCATAACGAATGTGGCGGGCTTAAACATTTATGAAGGCGCCAACCCGCCCTGTAACCTTGTTCATGGGGTTAACAGTACAACATACACACAAACTATATAAATCAGATTGAAACCGCAGAAAAAATAGATAACAAAAACACAGACTCGACGTGGCGGGATCTTAATACACTCCTCACAACAAAACAGACAAAAAGGACAGATCTGAGAGAACTAAAAGTTACTCACAGCTAATTCAACAACAAATACTAAAAAATCATGTATGTAAGATTAAAATATCATTCAGTACGCATCGAACATTAAATGGGTTCAGTGTAGTAATTTATTATTGGGGTAGAAAAATCCGTAGTAGTTAGAAAACTCAATGTTTTGTAAAAGTGAGGAGAAAGATACAAAAAGGGACATTCAAACTCATTAGTCGAAAATACACTGACAACGCCATGGTTAAAAAAGAGAATATTAATACGCAAACAACAAAACCCAAAATACAAAATGTACAATTAAAGACTCAGAAAACGGAAAACTCATACATTTGTTGACAATAGAATAATGGAAATTAGACACAAGATCAGTACGTTTCAACGAAGGAAAATCCTGCTGATATTGCAAGTAGAGGCACATCAGTTTCAATGATGAAAAAAATAGCCATTGGTTAACAAAATATAGAACCGACTTGCCTAGATGTTATCCTCACAATATAAGTGACGACAAGCATGATTGGATTGGATTGAAATCAAAAGTATCTTTCTTTCTTAACGTAACAATATCTGTATTGCATATTTGCTGTAACAACTTACTAAGTTTACAGCTTTTAACTTAGTATCCCTCATCTTAGTTTAACGTATAGTTAAAGGAAGCACTATTTGGTAAGATATAACTTATTCATAATATTAGTATCTATAATATAATTCATTTCACAACTATCATTGTGAATACAGATACATTCCTTTGTAACTTAGTTTTCTGGAATCCACTCTGTTATCGATATAATCATTGTTCCATTTACAATTTTGGCACACTGCTGCTTCAGCAAAAGAGGAACGAAAGATACCAGAGGAACAGTCAAACTCATAGATCGAAAACAAACTGACAACGCCATGGCCAAAAATAAAAAGACAAACAGACAATATAGTACAGATGACACAACATAGAAAACCAAAGACTAAGCAACACCAACCCCACCAAAAACTGGGGGTGATCTCGGGTGCTCCGGAAGGGTAATCAGATCCTGCTGCACATGTGGCACCCGTCGTGTTACTTATGTTATTACAAATCCGGTAAATAGTCCAATTCGGTAGGGTCACGTTCGTGAAAAGGGAGGGTATTGTAGTTACGACATAAGGAACATATCCGATATCATCTGTGAAACGGTTATTCCATAACGGTCAACCAACTCGTGATGGCGTCCGTAAAATTTACGAAGGGATGACTTCAACTTCAACATTTGGAACTCCTGTATTTAATAGCTTCCTTGTGAGCAGCAATCCTCTATCAAGGAAATCATGATAGGAAACACAAGCCCGGGAATATCGTATCAATTGGGAGATATATACTCCGTATGCAGGCGCTGCTGGAATGTTGCCACAGAGAAATGGAAAGTTCACAATTGGGAAGCTGAAATCATCTCTTTTGTCGTAAAGTTTTGTTTTCAACCGACCATCATTGTCAATTTCTAGATGTAAGTCAAGATATGAGGCAGACTTAACTATATCTGTAGTATCCTTTATCTCTAGTTCGATGGGATAGATTTGTTCAACATAGTCTCCAAATTTTGTATTATTTAGTGAGAGACATGTGCGCTATCTGATGTGTCTTCTAGATATTATTATTATAAACAGGATTTATCTTATTTGATAAAATTTGGTGAGTATACAAGTTTTGTTTTTAGTTATGTACTGACATTTTCTTGTCGACGTGTATATGTATTGCACATATTATATTATTCCTTTGCGAATACACAGTATTTCTCCACGCTAATTAATAATCGTGCTGATATATGTATACTTATTTTTGTTTAACGTTTGTGAATACACATTTTAAAATCTAAAACTACAGTATGTTACATGTCGTGACTCATGCAATTTTATTTGGGGGCAAGCTGAGGACCACCTCCGGGTGCGGGATTTTCTCGCTGCGTTGAAGACCCATTGGTGGCCTTCGGCTGTTGTGTGCTCTTTGGTCGAGTTGTTGTCTCTTTGACATATTCCCCATTTCCATTCTCAATTTTATTTTTTACAGAGTTTGTCTTTAGTGCCGATTGGAGACAGTAGAGTGCATCCCCGTGCTTCAGGTTTATGCTCTTATAATGTACTAGTAAATTGAGTGTGTGTCCGAGCGAGAACATCTCTATGTTCATTACTTTAGGAATATTTATTCAAAACACAGTTTTCACTATTCAGCCCCATTCTACTATTAAGTCAGACGTCAGACGCTACCCTGATATACCCTGTCTTTTGTTTTTTGTCCTCAAGTTTTGTTGTTAACGTATTTTGTCGAGTACTTAATGACGGATAGCGTTAAACGTCTTTAGCCGAGCAGTTTTATCACTTTTTACTTTTTTATATTCCTCTGTGCTGGTTCATATTCTGGACGCCATTCTTTGCTATTTTCAATTGGTAAAAAAAGATAACAAAAACAAATCATGAATCTTCGAAATGGAAAAATACTTAATACTAAACTCGTTCAAAGGGTATCTTCACGTCTCAATCTTCAAAATCGATTATCTAAAAATACTACAATCGCTAACATTTTTAATAAAAAAAATCGTAGTTACCCTTCTATCTATAAGTGTCATGCCAAAAAATGACTTACATGTCCCCGTCTTTCCACCAACAATACGGTAAGGTCAACGTTTAATGGTCACATATTTTCGCTAAATTTTGAAACTGATATCACTTGAAAAACTAACAATATTATATATTTACTCACATGAAACAAACCGGGATGCGATATTCAGTACGTAGGTGAAACTGGACGATATTTATCTAAACGCACGCAAGAACACCTTTATCGTTTTAAAAGACCCCATCAATTCAAAAGTATCATTTATCAACACCTTAAGAAGCACAATCATCCTTTTAAATATTTAACAGTTCAACCTTTAGAAGTAGTTAATAAGCAGCCTGGGGAATCTCATTCAAAATTTGTACGATCACGAAAAATAATTGAATTAAATTGGATTAAAACTTTACAGACAGTCTATCCTCTCGGTCTTAACGACAAAATCATGGGAATTGGTAATATATCTATAACAGATTCTGTTAACATTTTGGACATAGTTTCTAAAACAGTACGTAAAAACCGTTCTCATGGGCGTATAATAAATCGCAATCAAAGAAAATTTTGTAATAACAATACAAATATTTCGGACCTAATTTCTATTTCAAAAACAACGGTAGACACTATCTATTAACCAAGCTCTGTTCTTTGCCTGTTAATAAATTACATCAAATTTTGGAGGAATGCAACACAATTCCATATTGCAGTCCTAAGTATGAAATCGTCCAAATTATAATTGCATATTGTTATTCTAAATTGTTTCCCAAAATTCATCGCCCTGAAGATCACAAAAACATTTTATTAAAATTAAATATGTCAATAAAGGTTTTGATTTCGTAAATATTGCCGGTATTTTTAATGATCATTCTGTTAAAGAACAAATTCCTGGCAATTTTGATAATACTGAACTCCCTCTCATTTGTCATGTTTACAAAAAAACTACCCGGAAATATGTTTTTAATTACAGCGAAGTGTGTAAAGGTGTTAATATCAGTGACAATACACCTACCTCATGAAATTGCAGTAAATCCGAATACATTTATGGCCCCAGTTCCCATGTTATAACAGGAGACCTTAACATCGTTCGTGACCGAGAGTTGAAATCATTCCTCAGTAAAGGACCTAAATGTCGTCCCCCGTCAATTATTAATTGGAATGAGTGTCGTAATATCATCCACGACTCACTCCGTACTTACTGCTCTAAATGGATAAACCGAGAAAAAGCTCACAAGAAATCATTAGATTCTTTTTTTAATTCGGTAATGCACATAGTTGATATACGTATTCAACATTTTAAAGATCATTTTACTCCTAACAACAACCATAAGAGCCCAATTTTCCGTATCAAACATAAGCTTAAAGAAATATATTTTTGTCCCGACTGATAAGGCTGCTAACAATATCATTATTGTTTGACATAAATTTTACATTGATGTTCTACAAAAGGAAATCACAAATTCACCAACGTTCCAACTGACTCCATTTTCGGAAAATTACATCTGTAACAAACTGTAACAAACATAAACTTTAAGCTACCTTTTTACAAGCAGAACCAAATACAATGAAATTTCCAACTATGTACTGGCTTCCAAAGCTGCACAAACCTCCTTACAAATATAGATTTATTTCGTCTTCAAGCCATTGTTTCACTACCAAACTATCTATGTTACTTACTAGTACACTTGGTACAATCAAAAATCTGGTAATAAATTGTTCAAATAAGGCCTTTTAAAATAGTGGAATTAATTAATTTTGGAGTGTCAAAAATTCGTTGGAAGTACTTAATAAATTACATGCTTATATTGGTGATTTCGAATCTGTTCAAAGTTTTGATTTTTCTACCCTATATACCACGTTGCCTCATAATCTTCACACATCTGATTAAATGGGCATTTAAAAGTCGGAATGCGAATATATA